GGGGGTCTTCGACGCGCCGCATCCACAATCCCAGTCAACTCTTCCACAGCCCATCCACATTCACATCCAACTCCTCCCCCTCCCCTTCACCCCCCCTCTGCTCCCGCGCCCGCAGCGACTCCCCCCGCTGCCACGCCACCGCCCGCTCCAGCTCGTCCGCCACCTGCTCCAGCACTTCCAGCGCCTCGCTCACCCGCTCCTGCACGTCGCGCCGGAACTGTAGGGTCGGTGAGACCTGTGTGCCGGTGGTGGTGGTGAAGTCGTTGTCGGCGTCGATGTCGATGTCGACGGGGGAGGGGCTGATGGGTTTGGCGGTGGTTTTGAGAGGGCGTTTGGGTTTGGGGGCGGGTTTGGGTTTCGGGGCTGGCTTGGGTTTGGGCGCGGGTTTGACTTTGCCTTTGGCTTTGCCTTTGGCTTTGCCTTTGGCTTTGCCTTTGGCTTTGCCTTTGGCTTTGCCTTTGGCGGTGGGTTTGGGTGCGGGTGTGGGTGAGTGTCCTGCGTCGTCGGCGGCGACGTCGGTGCCGGCTGGGGACTCGGCCTTGGTGGCGGCTTCGGTAGTGGCTCGCTTCATGAGGCGTTGGGACTTGCGTGGTGGGGGCTTGTCGGATGGTTGGGAAGCCCGGGAGGGCTCCCTCGGCGGCTGCTTCTTCGACTGCCTTTGCTTGTGCATCACGAGCGGCCTTCGCATGCGCTGCTTTGGTTGCCTTTGCTTCTGCCACCCTGGCTGCCTCTTCATCCTCGGCTGCTTTTGCTTTCCGCAGCGGCAACCACCTTTGCTTCCTCCTTCTTTCAGCTTCCCCTTGCCGCTGCCTCTTCGGCTGCCTCAGCCTGTGCTGCTTCAAGTGCCGTCGTCTCCGCTGCCTGCACCGCCTCCTCATGAGTTTCGCCCCCTTCTGTGGTCCCTTCAGAACCTCCAACCTCGGCGTCAAGCTTCTCAGTAACGACGTAGACCCGTTCGGCCACAGCGGGAATGTCAGTGACTCCCACCCCGTCATACCGATACCACACTGGCACATACGGCCCGAACAGCCACCTCAGTTCCTTCTTGTACTGTTCCAGAATTTGGTCTTCCCTGTACCTGGTCGTGGAATATGGTATCGTCTCAAAGTCTGGGGCGGGCCTGACCCAGGAGACGTCGCCAAAGTCGTCCCTGTCCGCCACCGGGGTTTGGAGAACCGGGTCCTCGCCCCATTCTTGGATGTACTCGCTGACCTTCTTGATTGCCATCGGAAGGACTTCGTCGCGGAGGAAGAACACGTCCTTGATCTGCTCCTGCACGCCCTGCTGCGAAAAGCGGGCCCCGTCCCCCTTCTGCAATGCTGGGATTTCGAACTTCTTCAGCAAGCTGATCAGGTCGCTTGAGTACGCCGGTTCTTGCCCGGCGCGCAACTTGAGAGTCTTCGAGAGATACGGCGAGAGCTTGCCCTCCACGTTGACGTCGTAGTCCAGTCGGCTCTCCCGGTCATTCTTGCCGCCGTTGTAGACTGTCACCAGCCGACGAAGGAGCTCGCCGAAGAGGTGTATGTCCTCGAAGCACGCAGGACCAGTCTCGGCCTCCTCGCCGCGGTTGCTGATGGTGCCTTGACTCCAAAGGTCCCGCCTGTCGTTGACAAACCCGGCCTTGTCGAAACCCTCCAGGATGATTTGCGGGAAACAGCGTTCAAGCGGGTCGTCGCTGTCCGGAAAGTGCAGCAGCACGTTGTGTGGCGTGATAGCACGGTGCACAATGCGCCTCCACTTCCGCTTGTCGGGCCGACTGGGCGATCTGCCGCCTGAGCCTTTGTAATAGTGATAGTCGAGGTCGGCAGTGCTGTAGCCGCAATGAAGATGCAAGATGGCTCGCGACAGCTGTTCCATGACGTGCCAGATGAATGACTCTGGGATAGGCGACCCGATGCGCCGGTCGCTGTACATCTCCATCAGGTTGCTCAGCGTCCCGCCATTGTAATGCTGGAAGTACAACGAATAGGTGTCGGCCTCATCCAGGTCATCGTCCACCTCTTCCTGCTCTGGGGGCCCGCTGTACGCGTGCAGCTTGGGGAAGTATGGCTCGTCTGGGAGCTGGGCCTCCACGCGAGGGTCTTCCAAGGTGGAGAAGCGTAGCTCAGGGGGCGATGGTGTCCAGTAAAGAATGTCACGTTTCGGGTTTTTGAATTCGCGGTCGTCGTCGTGGAAAGTTGGCGCCTCACGCTTGAACCGCTTGTTCACGAAGAGCTCATCGGTATCGATGCTCTGGAGAAGCATGGATTTGCCCATTGGATAGCTCGGCTTCAGGTTGTGCATGAGGAGAAAGCCCTTGGGGTGTTTCTTCAGCCAGGCATTGGAGCTCTTGTGACTTGAGGCCGGTTCCGTCAGGGGTGGGGTTGGGAGTTTGATGTGAAGTTGGCGGAAGATGGCCGGTGTCACGCCGGCACTGGTATCCTCGGCGTTTGCCATGACGGATGACAAGATGCTCGTGCGGAGCTTAAGCTTGGTGTGTATCAGTGATCCCTCCGATTAGATTGTTCTACTGGTAAGTTTGGATGCTTGTAAACAACTGAAGTGTACAATTCGGTGGACGATCAACAGCGCTTGGGAAACAACGCACCTACTTGAAGCTCTGGGTTCCTTGTTTGCAATATTTTCCTGCACAGACGTGTTCTTTGTTGCTACCCCTATTCGTTCCGCTTCCGGCATCGGAACTAGCGGAGCTGAAAATGGCCGCAACATTCATGCAGATTTCAATCTCCGGATGAAACAAAGACAATCAGGCACAGTATTAACAGTTGCGAGAAATACCAGAAATTTTGAAACAAGTGATGAGTGCAGCTCCGCGACGACTTCCGGCAATCCAATCCATCAACTGTACATGCGTATGGACATGTGTACCAACTACCAACTACCACCACACACAACTTGCCAACTGTCAAGCAAGATCGTCGACATTCATCTTCACGCTTTCCTTGAGGTCCGTCCAGCCCGGGCGCCCCATATCCTTCAGTAAGGCCTCAGCTCGTGGGGCAGGGACGATGTGGCTTGCGTCGAGCTCGGCGTCCTCAATGTCTCCAGAGAAAGCTCTGTTGGGGTACAACCTGTGGATGGCCCGCTGGACACCACGCCAAGTGTACGGTTGGGCGTAGGCAAAGATGCGCTCACCCACAACACCCGGGTGAATGAGGGCCGCCACGTGGAGGCGAGCGTTATCTTCAACATCGACGAAGAAGTCTGGCATCTGGGTCAGGGACCGGCCTTTGTCGCGTTGTGGAGTATGCTTACACTGAGGACCATTTGCAACAACGCCAACATCGCCCTCGAATATGGCCTGGATCATAAAGGATGTCGACGGATGGCCTTGGTGGATTGGATGAAGGCTCTTGCCAAAATTCATGCTTGGGAGAACTATTAAACCGCGCTGTCAGCAACCAAACTTAAGTTATAAATCTCGCATCTGTGTCCTACTTGTGTTCAACACAAAGTGCGGTTTGCGGTTGGCGTGCCACTTCCATGCCTCCTTTTCCATCTGCATCTTGCTGGTCGCGTACACTGCAAAGCTGCGCTCCGGTCCATATGGTGGAGGGCCCCACGCTTCAAGGCTTGCTTCATCGTTCCACGTGTTTGTGTCAATAGTTTGGGCAACTCCCGGCTTCGCGGTGGCAGCCGCTGCGCATGACGACGTGAGAACAAAGCGTTTCACGGAGGGTTCTCCCGCCGCCGCATTCAGCAGGCCAAGAGTCCCCGCCACCATGGGGGTGATCACCGTGTTAGGGTCTGGATCCATCGTCATATCAGAGGCAGCATGCACAATGCCAGATATGCCTATGGATATTGATGAGCGGCCGAACGCAAGGGGGGCGGATGATGATCAACATACCATTGAGGAGGCCGTCAAAAGCCCCGGGCTTACTGAGGTCAGGGACTTGAACAACTTCGAACTTTCCTGCCCCATAGTTGCGGTCAAAAAGAAGTTGAAGCCAGGAGATTTTGGAGATGTCTCGAGCCGTTCCCGTCACAAGATACCCTTCAGCGAGCAGCTGATCAGCGATATGGCTTCCGATGAAGCCACTAACCCCAGTAACAAGAACCCGAGAGCCGGGCAACAGAACTGGATTGTCGATCGTAACCATGATCTCCGTTTAAAAATGGCCCAAAGTGTGGTTGTTCCGCCGATATACCAGACGACGAATGACTGTTGAAGGGGCTTTATATAGAAAGATATCAACAATGATACGACCTTCAAGGCCCCCCTGCTTGCTCCCGGGTTCATGCCGACTTTCCTTTCCAACTCGACGCTGTTCATACCATAATCAACAAGTTGTTTTCTCAACAAATGTAATCACGCCCTTCTTGCTCCCCCGTTTTGAGATCGCGTTTCTCCGTCACAGTCATGCCATGGGTCACAGAAACTGAGAGGCTCTTACCATTGGTCACTTTGACAACAAGGTCATCGGCAACGGGTCGATTCTGGGGCAGGGGCCCCACATCCAGTTGTCATACCCTGCTTCATTGGTCACTTTGACAGCATGTTTTGGCGGTGATTCGTTGATTCGAGGACCGGGAGGTCAGTTTGTGGTGTTTCTGCGCCCAGTGCTTTCCTCCCCAGATCACCTCCCCCTGGCCGTGATCACCGATGGCGGTTCTGGGACTGCTGGACTTGCAACCAGCACTCAAATGTTCGAAACTCCACATTCTCGATGGCGAGCGCTCGAGATGCGCAACCCGCGTGCAGCTTCTGCATTTCTGTACGGTGTCAAGACAACTCACATTTACTGCCGTCCGACATGCCCCTCTCGGCTCGCACGCAAGGCGAATGTCGTGTTTTTTGACTCGGTTGACGAGGCGGCGTGCGCTGGGTTTCGAGCCTGCAAACGCTGCAAGCCCTCACAAGCGGACTTTGAACCTCAAGCCAGTCATAAAAAGGCGGTCCAAAAGGCTTGCGAACTGATGGATACTGCTCAAGGAGTACTCACCCTCGAAAGTTTGGCGGCCAGCGTCGGCTTGTCGCCGAGGTATCTCCACGGGGTATTCAAGACCGTCATGGGATTCACCCCTAATGCGTACGCCATGAAAGTCCGAAAAGAGAGGTCCACCCGTAAGAGGTCTCTGAGACAAGAGGGAGACCCGGCATGTCTCCCGGAAGAGCGGTCACCGCCAAATAGGGAGGACGACGAGGGAACGGCGCTGCCATGTAAGACTGCCGAGCACCCATGCGAGTATGGTCTAGCTACTAACCCGAGTGCCATAAAGCATTGGACCTTTCGTTCAACGATTTACCATTCGGCGAGGACACTGAGATTGGCCCGGCTTCACCGGGGGCGCCTCCATACCGAGATGCTGGAAACTGGTACCAATACACAGGCCCCGTCACGGGCACGGCCATCCCCGATTACTTTTCTTTTCCCCTCGTAGAGGATTTTGGGATAACCCCAGTATGGGAGCCGCCTTGTTCAGATTATGGGGTCTTTGCAACTCATGAGTTTGGGGGTATTTTACCGATAGGCAGCACCGAGTCCCAAGGCGAAGAGGTTTTCGGGATAATGCCACCCAATCAGCCAAGCCACTTCAACTGTTGTCCCCATAGCTTTCATCTCAACTGTGACTAGCTCACTTTTTTATCATCCACTGTTTATGATGCATGTAGAAGTGAGCCGAAAACTGGTGTAAATTCTCGCTGTTGCTATAACCTTGGCGTGTTTGATCAACTCCCATCAAATATCACAAGGCGACACCACCCACTGTGGTTTTCCGTTTGTTTTAGCATGTCAGGCTTCACTTCACGACAGAATGGCGGGAGATGTACTGTTTTTTGTTCGGGATGGGTACATGAGGTACCTAGGTAAGTAGGTAGGCATGCCATGCGTTGCATCGAAGGAAGACATCACCGGGCCATCTCAGGAACTCCAGTCATCCTATCAAACACCAGCTTCCGGGTTCCTTCGAGGGTGACAACCTCACATTAAGGCATGTTTTAAGTACCAAGATGTTGAATGATTACGCCGAGCTTGAGTACATGTATGCAATGTATGTGTGTGGCGACGCCGCGGGCAATGACTGGTGGCGTAAAAGCATATCCCTTCCCATTTTGGATCAGGAATGCCAACGTCAGCATTATGACTTTGCAGTGAGGTAATGAGAGCCAATTTCCAAAAGAATTGGTTGTAGGATTTCGTAGATACCACCAGAAACCTGATTGCCAAGCTCCCATCACACCGCACGGGATCGGGAACCCTGGGGTCGGTCAATTATTGGATATTTCTTTTGTAACAGTGGGAGGGGTCAATATCAGAAAGTGTCTATCATCCGAGAGCAGTCGGTGGAAAGGAACGAGAAATAAAGTATAAAGATGTACCCAGGATCCCGCCTGTTATCATTCAGATGTTCGATCACAACATTCCACATTCTGACTCTGAGATCAAGCACCGTTTTCCCCAAACTCAGACCCAGCATTCTACTCCCAAGTTCTATCTTACCTACCTAATTATTTCACCAACACACTCTCCCTCAAAAACAACGCACCTCCCCCCAAAAGAACAATGCAACTCACCACCCTCCTCACCCTCACCACCGCGACTCTCGCCTCCGCCGGCGCAGTAGTACCCTCCCAACTACTCCAAGAGCGCCAGGAGGGTCCGAGCGAGTGTGATAAAGCTCTGCCCTGCAACCCGGGCCAGTACTGCTGCTACAACCGCGGCGACACCTACGTCATCCAGGTGTGCACCTCGCAGCGCCGCTGGACGCTGAGCTCCGAGTGCGGTGCCATCGGCTGCTGCGAGTCCGGGGTTGGCGATACCAAGTTTTGTACTTGTTAGGGTGGTTTGGTCGGATGTGATGTCTGCTTTTGTGTGATGTGGTGTATTGATGGTTTTGTTTTTCTAGTTGCGAGGGATGGGTGGTTTGTGGGATTGGGTTTGACGGTCGGTCCTGTTATTACGGGTTAGGCTGTCTCAATCACGCGGCCGGTATCTAGCTTGGTTGGATTCAATGGGATGTTACTGTGTTTCTTTGGTATTAGGTCTGTTGAGGCTTCATATTTGCCAGAGGGCTTGGGCAAGTGGGGGGACGAGAGTTCGGGCAGGTTGCCTGATACAGTCTTTGTGTTTCGCTTTCTGGGGCTTATGGATGGGATGGCTTTTATCAGTTCCGGCAATATCACTCGTTTGGTTCTCGCCCCGTACCTTCCTATGTCCTGATGATCCCCGACATAAACACTCGAGGGCGCTGGTTTTGACTCAGCAAGTATCCTTTATATTTTTGCCTCCCTGACTGCCCGGTCTTGCGTTGATGGTTGGCTTTGGTCTGTTTCCGTCACCACCCTTCCTTCGGGCTCGCCTTCTCGATTCATGGCTTCCAACAACCACTCTTCCATCGCCTTGATTAATCCTTCCACTTCCACAATAGAGTTCTTGGCATGGAGACATATCCTAATCCTTTCTTCTCCTTTAGGTACCGTTGGTGCTACAATGGGGCGCACCATGTATCCTTTCTGCTGGCAGTATTTGGCTAGGTCCCGGGGCCGGGAGGTAAGGACCGGAATGACCGGTGACCGTGGTTTTGCGGGACTGACGCGTAACAGTTCAGGAGGGGGGCGATGGCGGGCGCACGCCGTGAGGAGGAGCTTGTGTGTCCCTTGCACAAGAACTTCCAAATGGGACCGTAACTGCTTTGCTCGGCCAGCCGCGAGGAAGGTGTACGCTGCTTCAATGCTCGCGAGGGAAGGGAATGCCATGGCGGTTGTGTAGATGAGGGTCCGCGCATAGTTGATGAGATAAGAGCGAGTTGTGGGCGAGCAAAGTACCATACCTTCGATTGTTCCAACGGACCAGTTAATATCACTTTTCCTAAGGTAACCGCCATGGACTTAACAGAGAGTAAGCGAGAGAATAGTTTACCTCCAGCGCAGCCGATCGCCTTCCCAAAACCCAGCACCCTTGCCCACACCCGTTTCTCGAGGCCCAACTCACTCACCAAGCCCTGGCCACGGTCTCCAAAGATACCTGCCGAATGTGCTTCATCGACGATGATGTAACCGTTGCCTTGACAAAGATAACGCTCAACACACTCAACAATGTCAGCCAAGGGGGCGACATCGCCATCCATGCTGTAGACACCCTCGACGGCAATAAAGACATTTCTCTTTCCGGATCCGAGTTGACTGCCGTCGGGTTCCTGTAGCAAACCCCGTAAGACCGCCTCCAGAGATTTGGCTGTGGAAGAAGAAGTGCCCAAGTCTCCCGGGGCGTCCCAGACGTGGCTATGGGCGAACGGGATTCGTTTGCTGGCTCTACTCAGCCGCATCCCATCATGTACGCTCGCATGTATTAACCTGTCGTACACAATCACGTCTCCAGGCTGCGGGACGCACGAGAAAAGACCCACGTTGGCGTCCATGGCCGAGTTGAACAGCAAAGCGGCCGGGGCGCCGTGGAACTCGGCCAGCATGCATTCCAGAGATTCTGCAAAAAGAGAATTTCCATCTAACAACCGGGAGCCGCCCGAGCCTAACAGCGAAGACGGGCGACTGTTATCGCCTGTGGTGGTGGGTGATAAGGCTCCTTGGAGGCGAGTTAAGAATGCTTGCTGCACGGCGGGCTGCGAGGATAGCGAGAGGTAGTCATTGGAAGAGAAATCGACGGTGCCATCTGGAACTGTAGTCAGGCCCCTCAGTTGGTTCCGTGCACGTCGGCGGTCGAGAAGGGAGGCAAGGACGTCATCGAGCGCGTTGTTCTGTGCCTTTTGCGACATTTTTGATGAATTGCCCGTTTCCAGGCTTTTCCTCTGCCCGCTCTCGGTTTGAAGGAGCAATTGGATTTGGAAATCGAGCGGAGCTAGCCGAGAGTTACCGAAATTATTTTTACCATGTGTCACACACCTCAACAAAAGTAGACTGGGAGTCAGAAGTGGTGCCGCCGAAGTCCGGCTTGCATCGGAGTTGGGATGCTAAATTGCTCAACCGTTTCCCAGGGTTATTCGAGGGTTGAGAGCCCTACCGAATACAAAACGCGCGCAATTCAGGCATTTCTTAGCCGAAACATTGACGCTCCTGCGTGGGAGTAAGGAAACAGCGACGCATCTCAATGACTTTAATTCCGCCGGCGAGGTCAGCTGCTGTGGCGCTCCCTGCGAATTCTCCAGGTCTACGGGGCCAACACCGAGGTCGGCAAGACAGTGGTGATCACTATTCTCTGCAGAAGGTGCTCACAGGCTCTGCGGCAGATGAAGAGACATCTTATTTGAAGCCTGTCTCAACAGGAGCGGCTCTCAGACGCCGACGACTTGTGTATGTAAACCTTTTGTGATTTCAGACGCAGATCGTAGTAGTAACCATTGACCATTCTCATTCGTTTGTGCAGATGATCTGCCCTTCGACCCTTCACGCAATGTGACAGAGATGGTACAGTATGACTTATGTACGGCATGCAGACACATCTGAAAAGTTTGCTCCCGAACATCAACAGCAGAACGCTGTTTCAATATGAACTGGCCGTCAGCCCTCACATTGCGGCTCAAGCCTCGGGCCAGGTAAGTTTGGGGTTTTGGGGTCATGTCCCATGAAAACAACAACTATTACGGCGTTGAGCTAAATGTCATCGTTATTAGCCAATTGTCGCCGATAAAATGGTATTAGCAGAGATTTCAAAATCTGCAGCGCGCCAGGTGTCCCGTGGTCCCGGATGGCTCTTTGTCGAAACAGCGGGAGGTGTGCACTCCCCAGCCCCATCAGGCTCAACTCAAGCAGACTTGTACCGGCCACTCAGGCTCCCTGTCGTTCTCGTTGGCGATAGCAAACTCGGCGGTATCTCGCAAACCATCTCGGCGTTCGAATCACTCAAGCTCCGTGGCTACGACGTCGAAATGGTGCTGCTCTTCCGGGAAGGGCAGTTCCAAAACCACCAATACCTTGCCGAATACTTCAAAGACCAACATAACATCCCCGTCATGACATTTCCCGAGCCTCCAAACCGCATCCGCGGGGACACAACCGCGGACGCCGCGGCAATGTCACGGTACTACGAGCACAACAGTGGCAACGACAGCAACTTGCACGACATCCTAAAACACTTAGACACCCGCCACAACAACCGCATATCCCGTCTCGAGTCCATGAGCACCAAAGCCTCTCTCAACAATCTGGTACCTCTTCACCCAACTGAAGGACCTCACTGCCGCCTAAATCACCACCATGCGACTCCGTTCACGGTGACCTGGTCGAAAACTCGCACTCGCAGTAGTATCTCCAACATCTTGTGGAGAGTCCATGATGGGAAACTGTGAACTGTCAGAATGGTATTTGCTAGAAAGGGGAGGGATATCTTAGCCAGATGGACGAATACCAACAAATGGATTAATTGCGAGCAAACAGGAAGGCGCACTTTTCCCCATTGGGACAATAGCTTCAGATGCAGACCCGTCCTCAAAACTCTGTCTTACTACT